AATGGCGTGGGACAAATGAGGGGAGGAAGAGAAAGGGGAAGAAGGGAGCTATGCAAGTCTTGAATCGTGTAGATCTTGGCTATTGGAATTCTTCTCTTCCCTTTCCTTTCGACGTAGCAAAATACTTACCAGGTATTGATTGTATCTTACATCTTTCATCTGGTCAGGGCACTATCGTCGCGGTCGGTCGCGTTCTCGCTCTCCCTACCGCTCTCGGTCTCGGGGCCGACGACGCTCGCCGTACTAAGAAGAAAGAAGGCGGGAAGGGAGGTTTGCATGGGCCCTAGATGTTGGAAGGGTGTGAAGAAGGAGAAAGAGGTGAGGGCAAAGCTCGCGGGAAGAGAGCAAGAAGGAGACAGGTTCGCTTTCTCAGCCCTGCAGGGCCCGTGCGAGGCGTGAATAGGTGGGAGGGAAGCGCCGGTAAAGGCGGGTAAGATGTTGAACAGTATGCATCACGGAGGCAAAACACGGGGCGAGGGCGCTTTAAAATGAAGAAATGGAGCGCAAGACAAGCTTCTCAGAAGATTTTCTTTTCACGTTTGACTCGTACTTCCGTAACTTCTACAAGCGTTGAGATCGCGCCTGTCGATTTCCTGGCCCCTTTCTGCTCGCCCGTCCCTCCCCCTCTCTTTCATCCGCTCTTGTCGCTGCGCACCTAGCCGTTGCAAGAAGTTGAAGTACACATACTTGGGGCCAAAGAAACACATGTCGTGCCAGAAGTTTACTGAGCAAAGCCAGCCGGAGATAGGGAAGAGAACGAGGGAGGGAGGGGGGGAGGAAAGAAAGGGAGGAATGGCGATGTTTTGAGACAATAAGTGTTCTGGTATTCATGCCCTCCCCAACCTCATTCTTACCGGCAACGGTGGGACACGTCTGAGTTACTTCGTGGTACCACAGAGCGGGTAGATACAAGACTTCTCCTTCCTTCACTCGCACTTCTAGCGGATGCAGGACACGCTCCCGCCTCTCCTCCCTCCCTTCCTCCCTCCCTCCCTCCCTTCCTCCCCGCCTTGCTGCCGCTGCCTTCGAAGCTTCCAAATCGACCCAATCAACCGTCCCATCGTTCGTACAGCCCTTCTCTCTGCCATCGAGGTTGACTTGAAAACAGGAGCGGATCGAATCGAAGGCATAGGAGGCTTGCGGAAGACCGCGAGCGAAGAGGAAGGAGGACACGTCCGAGGGCGGGAAGAGAGTAAAATGCTGAAGTGGGGAGGGGGTGAGAACGGGTTGCGGTAATGAACGAATCAGAATGTTTGACTGACCACACGCTGGCTGGCATTTTTTAATGACGATAGCGGCCTTTGCAGTCAAAGAACGGAGAATGCTCCAGAGGAGGTTGCGATGGGCAGAGGAATCCTTCCTACCTTTTCTCCCTTTAGCACGGCATACATATTTTCGTAAGGGTCCTTGTGGAGGGACGAAATGGAGCGAGCATCCCCAATCCAGAGGTTGATGGCATCGGGAGGAGAGCCGAAAGCTTGCTGGGCGAGGGGAAAGCCGTTGGCAGGTACCTAAAAGAACGAAAAAGGAAAAAAGGGGGAACAATATTTGAAAGAAATCTAGACGAATGAGACGTTCGTTCAATAAAAATGTGAGAAGAAATCGAAGAAAGAGGGGGGGGGAGAGAAAGCAAGGAGAAAAAAGGTAGGATACCTGCCCCCCTCCTCCTCTGTCCGGCAGCTGCTCTTTCCCAAGCAACTCCGGAAATTCCCGACGCAGATTGTCATCCTGTTGACTCAAATACATGACCTCCTTTTCTTGTTCCTCTCCCCCGCTGGCCTGCAGCAGTGTCTTGACAAAGGACGCAAACGTCATCCGCCTTTCTTCTGGCTTCACAAAGACCCGTCGTGGGCGCGAAGTAGGATAATTTCTCGGCGATGACAAGGAGTCAGATTTGTCGGAGCTCGCTTGTGCATCCCCCGATGCATTTCTCGATCCGTCCTGATCGTCTACTTCTCCTCTCCCGCTTCCTCTCCCAGACTGCCCTTCCCTTAAACCCAAGATTGCGTCCCCCCTCCCATCAGGCGTCACGTTCACGGAGACCAATCGCTCTCCTCCGATCTTTTCAACAATTTCTTTCCAATCTTTCCAAGCCTCCAGCCCCCAATCTTCTCCCATTAGGCCGCTTCCTTGACAAAACACGACCGGGATGGAGGGCTGGACAAAGTCCTGACAAGATTAGAAAGATGAGTGATACGATGAACGAGGGTCTTCGACTTGCCCATTTTCGTGCAGTTACTTTTTTTGTTGTGATGCTTATCACTATTCATTCTCTCCGCATCATTATTATTTCCCATCCTTATTTTCTCCATTGGCACAATGCTTACCCTAAGGAAAGTCAAGGCACTTATTGGCTGTGTCAATCGACACACTGCCTTTGGGACCCAGAAATCCTCGACATCTTGATGAAAAGCTTGTAACGCTTCGTCAATCCAATCTTGTTGGTCAACATTGAGACCACTTACCTCGGACGGAAACATATTTGGACCTCCTGGCATTGCCAATAGGGTCCATGCAAACGACGAGCTAGAAAAGTGAGTGAGGTAGGGAGATGAGTTTGTGTGTTTCAGGGCATGAAAGTTTCGACAAAGCATACGTTTCTCGGTCTGTCAGCATCGTATACCTGCAATCGAGTCACCCGTCTCTGAGGGTGGGAGGGAAACGCTACGTGTGATAGCTCATTCAACTCTACTTGCTCCTTGTATCGCCGAATCGCCAGCAGAAAGTTGAAGTTTTTGTATAAACGGTCACCGAAGTCGCAGCTCAATTGTGCACCAAAGAAATGTGCTTTTCCGTCCCAGCACCCGACATGCCTTTCAGCTGGTGATGGTGAGAATATATATACATTTTCAACTGTGAAAATTTATTTGAACCGATTACCACGACCGATCATCCTTTTTCAACCCACGCGCTCTTTTCTCTGTACATATTTGCTACTCAATACAGCGACGTTTGCAAGACAGTACGGGAATGAGGGCATTGGTTCCCAAAATTGCGCCTTTTCCTCCTCACTTCAAACGTTTCCATCGGGAACTCTTCCCCCAGATTGTTGACTTTTCTACTGTTGCTTCTGATTCTCCTGCACCGGCATTACCGGGTCTCATGATGCATTCGCCTCTTTTGATCTCATCTTTGCTGAGGCATGCGGCCAAACACCATCCGGACACGCTTATTGTAAGCCAACGACACGAAGAGGCGGGCATTGGACCACGGAAGCTCCATCGGTACACTTACAAAGATATGCACGGCCGAAGCAAGAAGCTCGGCAACATTTTAGAGGAGCTGGGCGTCAAGAAAGGAGACAGGGTGGCAACACTGGCCATGAATACGTACAGGTAAACTTCGAACGAATCAAAGATAGATGTGAAATATAATCTACGCCAAATTAAGAGCATTGAAGGAGAGAGTGGGACACGCCAATCGTCTTTTCGCTCCGGCTATCTCTCCACTTAGTCTAAGTTTCTGCCCCCTGTAATCGTCCTTTTTATGATCGTTACGACGAATTGCATCCTTTGCCATCCTATCAATACAGACATATGGAACTTTACTTTGCCGTTTCGGGTGCTGGGGCCGTACTACACACCTTGAATCCTCGTTTGTTTGCAGAGACTCTCACATGGATCGTCCACCACGCCCAAGACAGCGTCCTCTTCTTCGACCCCTGCTTCGCCTCCCTTGTGGAGCGACTCCTCCCGCACTGTCCAAGTGTTAAGCACTGGATCTGCCTCGTGGACGAAGAGCGGATGCCAGTCCTACCTTCCCTTTCTCCGTCCTCTCCTTTCCTTTCCCTTCACAACTACGAGGCTTTGCTTCGGGAGGGAAAAGAGGACTATGTGTGGCCCATATTGGAGGAGACAGCAGCCTCTAGTCTCTGCTATACAAGCGGCACGACGGGTATGTTGTTTCGCCCATTTCCCTTCAGGTCCTGCCCGTACACAGGTCATCGTTTCCCTCACTCACCCTTTTTGCGCTCTCTCCCTCCCTCCTCCTTCCCTCTCTTCCCTCCCTTCAAGGCCCACCCAAGGGAGTGCTATACTCTCATCGCTCCACCGTGCTTCACTCCTTGGCCGCCGCCCTCCCTGACTCCCTCAACGTCTCTGCCCGCGACACTGTTTTGCCCGCCGTTCCTCTTTTTCACGTGAACGCCTGGGGTGAGGTGATGGGGCCATGGGAGTGCGGCGAGGGCAGGTTATTTTATCCCCTGGGGGAAAGGAACAAAGGCAGGCGATTCAATGCTCAGACGAGATAGACAAACCTCTTGATGGGATGCTCGAAAAGAAGTATTGGAAGGAAATTTGCCTTTTTGTGCCGGTTCAAGAGCCTCCCTCGATCTCCTTTCTCTTCATCTCTTCCCCTCGTTGCAGGCATCCCCTACACTGCAGCCATGGTAGGGTGCAAGCTGGTCTTGCCCGGTTCCGCTTTGGATGGGGCTTCCCTGTACGAGCTGATGAAGGAAGAGGGGGTGCGTGGCAAGGAGGGAGGGAGGGCGAGAGGCAAAGGAGGGGTCAGGCGCTGATTCTTCTGAGTGGCTGATCACCTTGACTAGTAGCACTCTGTAGAGGTCTGGTACATTGTCGGCCATCGGACAATGGCTTCGGAGAGAGACCCAAAGGCCCGCCTTTCACCCATTCCTGCTGTCTCCTCCGTCCCTTCCTCCCCCTCCCTCAGGTCACACTCGCCGCTGGCGTGCCCACGGTCTGGCTCCCTGTCCTCCACCACCTCGACCAGGACCCTGGACAGGGGCTCCCCAAATTGCGACGTCTGGTCATCGGAGGCGCTGCCTGCCCTCCCTCCATGCTGCGTGCCTTCAAAGAGCGGCACGGGATCGAGGTCTTGCACGCGTGGGGGATGACGGAAATGTCCCCCATAGGCACCGCATCCACCTTGAAGGTTGCTTGCCTCCTCCTCCCTCTCCCTCTTGAAACCTATAGCGCGTCTTCTCCTCGAATACGTCCACCTGCGTCACACCAGGCACCATGCCCCTGTATCACACCCACCTTTGCTCCCTTCTTTCCTTTTCCTTTCTCACAGGGCAAGCACCTCGCTCTCCCCACCGAAGATCAACACAACGTCCTCTCCACGCAAGGAAGGACCATCTACGGCGTGGACCTTCGCATCGTCGCGCCCTCCCCCCCTCCCTACCTCCCTTCCTCGTCTTCCTCCTACTCCCCACCTTACCCTCCTCGATGGAGCGAGGTGCCCTGGGATGGCGTCAGTCCGGGCGAGCTGTGCGCCCGAGGCCACTGGGTAGCAACGGACTACTTCTCTCCCACACAAGCACCGGAGGAGGGAGAAAGGGACGGAGGGGTGAGAGCAGGCCACCAAGAGAGTTTCTACACGGTAAGGCGCGCGCCAGAAGCCACACCTGTCGAATTGTTTACCTCATCGCCCTGGCCTCATCCTTTCTCTTCCTCCCTCCCGCCGTGCCTCCCCGCCTCCCTCCCCTCCGTGCTTCCCTAGGACGACGATGGCGAGCGCTGGTTCCTGACGGGGGACGTGGCTACCATCTGTCCGGATGGCTACATTAAGATCACGGATAGGTGAAGAGGGGAGGGAGGGGACGATGGAGGAGGAATTTAAGAGGAGGGAGGATGTCTGGAAGGAACGGAGGGCGAAGTTGCACCTCACAGCCAGGGCAAACATATCTCTAGTGTAATCGTTTCTCCTCCCCTCGGTCATTTTTTCCCCCCAGGAGCAAGGACGTGATTAAAAGCGGTGGGGAGTGGATCTCCTCCATCGAGCTCGAAAACATTGCCACGAACCACCCGGAGGTGCGTCCCTCATCCCTTGACCGTACGCAATCGAGGATCCCTTTCTCTTTTGTCTCCCCCCTTCGTATTCCTGCCACGGAGATATTCAGCAGCAGCACTCAATGTGAACTTCTCTACATTGAAATGCTTCCTGTGTCTGTTGGATTGCTCATTTAATCCTTCTTTCGGCCATTATCAGGTGGCACTGGCGGCTGTGATCGCCATGCCCCATCGCAAGTGGGATGAGAGACCACTCCTAATCGTCGTGCTCAAGGATTCTGCTGCGCTATCACTCCATTATTCTACTACATCCTCCTCTCCTTCGACCTCGAGCGACACCGACAGGGCAATCCGTCTCACCAAAGAGGCCCTGCTCGACCACTTTAAAGGGAAAGTAGCCAAATGGTGGGTGCCTGACGACGTGATTTTCGTGGACAGCCTACCACAGGGGCCAACTGGCAAGATCCTTAAGACTGAGCTACGTCAGAGATTCTCGCGGAGGCCGTGAGAGTCGCTTTCTTTCTTCCCCACCCTCTTTTTTGCATTCCTTATTATTATGTCCTCTTCTTTTTTCTTCTCTTCTTCTTAAAGTTTGGCAGTGGATAGGGAATGATTTTGGAGCCTGGGCTTCATGAATCGAATAATTTTATCTATACATAGTCTGCATCGATATTGTATTCTTTTCTCTTTCCGTAGAAGATCTCAATGAAGCTGAATTTTTTTTAAAAACGCGAAGCACGTGAGTTGAAAAGAGAAGATTGGTTTGAACATTTCTTCCAAACAGAGGACAAATTATTGTCCCACTCCACACATTTGCCTGTCGCCATTTCTCTTAAATGAAATAAAATCATGGAAATCAACCCGCCTTGCGTAATCGCATGTGGATTAAACTACTGGCGTCTTTCACCAGGAGGTTGCTACAATGTTGAAAAACTCAAAGTCAAACCAACGCATCGCGCGCAGATCATGTTACATAATCATGGAATTGCCTGGAAAGTATCGGACAAAATCCATTTTCTTTCATGCATTTCCTATATTTTCCGCCCTTGGAAAGCCGTTGCTCGTCTGGCTCCTACTGTTGCTTGCGTCGCACCACCATCTGCTTCCCCGCCCTTCAAGTACGACTTAGATAACTGACCCTACTTACTTCCAATCCAATCATTACGCGGACATAAGGCACACCATCCATTCATGGCGGCCCGTGCCACCAATACTTCGTTCCTTCAGCGTTTGGCGCAGCAGTTGCGGGTAAGTGGCAAGGAGGGCTAACTCGGTAGAAGGAGGGGATTACGTAGGATGTTGAAGGGATGAAAATATCAATTGGGAGTCTTTACTCGACCCTAAAATGGACCTATGATGGTTTAACTTTGCCCATTGTATCTCCTCTGCGTCTGCTGGCAGAGTTCGAAATAGACTCAGAAAAATCGATGAAAAAATGAAGGAGAGAGGTACAAAGGGACCAAAAGTGGGCACTAGAGTGTCGCCAGTCGAGTTGCCCCGTCACAACGGGGAAAAGGAAGCGTGGTCAACTTCTTTATTTAATGACTGATATGTTTGCATTCTTGTCTCTCCTTGCAGTCCAAAATGCCTCGAGCCAAGCGCCTTCTCGCTTTCCCGACTCGACCCGCCATCAACGAGGAGCTGATGCTACGTGTTGAAGAGTGAGTCCTCAAAACGCTCTCACGAACGATCGCCTGCAAAATAAGCGTCTTGTAATGACCTTCCACTGGCCGTAAGGGGATGCACGTGGACGACCAAGGGCGTTCCTGCCACCATTCCTATTGCAAATGCGTCACCTTTTTGTCCTACACTTCTCTGGCAGGCTTGCTCGGCAGCGGACTACTCCTCTTTCCCTGTTGGACCTTTATCGGTTCGGAAATCACCCGAGTCCAGCACAGGTGAGGCTTGCGGAAGGGAGAAGCGGAGAAAGGGATTAGAGTGCAGGGCGAGAGGCAAGGAGGAGGGGGTGGAGCGAAAGAAGAATTTATTTCTGGACGAGGAAGCGGGAAAAAGGAGCTCCCGCCTCGGCCAGGCAAGCTCTTCCATCGCACAATCACTTCATTTTCATCTGTTCCCTTTTCATCCCTCGGCTCTACCTTCCTCCCCCAGCGCCTTCGAAACGCTCAATTTCTGCACTTTGAGCTCCCCCGCCGCATCGCCCAGCGCGTGATTGAGCTGCGAGACCGCCTGCCCCCAGGCCTGGCGGAGAAACGAGGTGGGAGGGAGAAAGGGATTTCGAGTTCGTCAACGGGCGAGTGCTGCTGGAATTCTCCGTCATTGTAACCCGTTCGTCCGTCTTCTCTCTCCCCTCCTTTCTCATATGTCGCTGCCCCTCCATCCTTGCAGGCATCCAGAACGTAATGGGATGGTACGCTGGCTACGTCGAAGAGCTTCAAGCCTTTCCTAAGCCCATGGATAGTGAGCAGGTGGGGAAAGATACGTACAGGTAAACTTCGAACGAATCAAAGATAGATGTGAAATATAATCTACGC